GCTGATTCTGTTTGGTTAGCTTTAACTACCTATATCTGCGGTAATCACGTATGTCGGTTTCACACTCGTTGACCAATCGTGTTTCGCCGCGTGCACTCGATTGTTTATTGTCATGCTTTACCTGCACGTGTCCTGTTATACTAAGACACACATGAGTGCCTCCATGGAACTCACTATTCTGCAAGTATCCTGAAACATCGAGGATATTTGCGGCTTTGTCAAGATACAAGTTCAATCTAAACGCCAACCATACAAAAACATATTCTTGTCCACAACTGATATCTGTATCTACCCAAATACTCAATTATTTTGCAGAGTTAAATAATATCATTTTACCTTGGTCAGCGGCAGATAACTCGTCCTACATATAAAATCAATTCATTAATTTTTACCCGTTGATGCTTCACACCGAATTGGGACAGAGTCCTGGCTTTATTACTGAAAAAAGTAATTTTTTAAGAATTTCATCAGCTGCCCGTTAAAGGGAACAAATATCTGTAACTTATGCATAATTGATTCCCCTTTATCAATTATTCTTGGGATCAATTAGGGACAGAATCCAAGCAGATGAATGATTGTAAAGAATTTGCTCGATTTCTCTATCTAAGCCCCAATCTTCCCACACCAGGAGGCCAAAAACCATATTCTATACAAATTTTCATTGAGTTAACGTTTGTTTGTTTCCTTATCTAATTGTCACGTGATCAATCATAGTTATTTTGGGGCGGTGTCAACTAAGAAGCTGGTGACTATATCATTGAATAACACTGAATGGCATGAAAAATGTCCTGGTCTTCACATACCACTCAGAGCATTATGGGTAATCGGTCTTGCCAAAGGATACAACCTCGACAACATAGGAAGGTTCGTGATCTCAGCTTTCTTTGAAATTACGATTTTGTATCGAATGAGTTATCGAGGTCCCAATATCCAATGTTGAATGATTACTGCATTTATAACCTGACGGTAGAATAACATATTTCACTGAAAACCTTAGTTCTAGTTAGAGCTGCCATTAAGGTTCCCATTTATTTTGTATATTTCACATTTATATTCCATAATCGAAAATTTTATGGTATATAAACCTTCTTTGTATGCTTTATTTCACCATTCATAATCTATTAGTGTTCTATCATTTGAACATTTTCCGATTTTCAATTCATAATCTATTTTTCATAATCATATTTTGTCATCAATTCACTTGCATTTTCATAATAGAAAAATTGTATTACATATGTTAAATTTTTTTCAAAATGTTTCGATTGGTGTTCTTTATATTATATTTGCATTTTATAATTGATTCATTTGTATTGTAAAATTCACAATACACATGAAAAGCGGTATTGGGTACAAATACAATCCGATTACAAGTGTAATGAAATTAATAGAATACTGATGATATTAACAAAACGATCACAACGATTTCTATTTTTCTATTTTATTTGGCAATTTTCTCCTTAAGGTAATGACACGTCTGTGAGACGAGGACGTCTTGTAATGACACGTCTATGAGACTAGGGCGTCTTGTAACGACACGTCTATATGACGAGGACGTCTTGTAGTGACACGTCTGTAAGAAGAGGACGTCTCGTAATAACACATTTGTGTGACTCGGACGTCTGTGAGACGAGATGCGACTTCTAATAACACGTCCGTAAGACGAGGACGTCTTGTAATGACACGTCTATATGACGAGGACGTCTTGTAGTGACACGTCTGTAAGAAGAGGACGTCTTGTAATAACACATTTGTGTGACTCGGACGTCTGTGAGGCGAGAGGCGAGCTACGACCTCTAATAACACGTCCGTAAGACGAGGACGTCTTGTAATGACACGTCTATACGACGAGGACGGTTTTGAGGTATGATTTATCCATCGATATTTTCATTAATGTCTGTGCAAAATGTATGCTGACAGTGTAATTTTACTTCCATGGAAATGTTTCAATTATTATTCCTCAACCCCAAATGTATTGCACAACGTAAAATACAACACACTTATTAATACAAATACAATTTTATTTTATCAAAATTATATGTGGACGATAAACCAGATTATAAGATTTAAAAAATGAAGGAACAGCTTTCCTCCCACCCCAACCCCGAAAGGAAAACACAAACACACATACATCACAACCAAATCCACACACACATACATAAACAAAAAACACAACATTCAGTTTTAATCCACTGTAATAAAATAGAACAAGATAGAAAAAAAAGCAAATAGTTTCACAACTAATATAATTATTATAAAAAGACTAACTATCTAACTATATACAATACAGGTAAATTCTACATTTTTAATACACAGTGAGTGATACATAACATTCTCCTCTATAATCCTGATATTATAATGGTGATAACTTACTCAACTAAAGGCTACCTTAAATGAGAAATCTTAATGATTGTCTGAAGTTCATGCAGGGTCAGCACATCAGTCGCCATAGCTACCTTAGCATCCGACGAATATGCCTCCCCCAACTATTTGGTAGAATATCATGATTATGATTGCCCTCAAGTTTTGATGCGAATTTGACAATTTGTAAAAGATAATAAACATTTGAAAAGCTAAAAATTTCCTCATTTTCTTTCATCTCATATTTACCGCCCTGACCATTCCTCCAAGGGAAAAAAATTCAATTTAATGTATGCAAAACATGATCGCTCTCCTCTGAGGATGTTTCAGACCAGATTTGATAGAACATGCAGCTTAGTTAGAAAAGCAAAGTTTTCAAGATTTGTTTTTAAAATCCCCACCTTTGTGACACCAATTCTTCTGCATTAGAGGAGACATGATCCCCATTTATAAAACTTTGATTTACCTTCTCCTGAATTTAAATCAAATCATTACAACAGTCAATACGATCAGGAGGGGTAGCATAGATACATAAAACTTTTTTCCCCTTCTGACCCAAGTCTCCCTCTTAGACGGAAATACCTTATATACAATAGCAAAACTCGGCCTCTGCGTTTAGAAGAAGTGTTTGAAAAAAATTATGAATAAAACGATCGACGGTTGCCGGTTATAAAATTCATTTTCTTGGTTATCGTTCAAACAGAGCTAAAATGTAATAAAATAAGAATGAAAACATTGCATTTTGCCTTAAGATATAAAATCCGATTAATGTATAAAGAATTTTTTTCTTAATTGAAAATATTAAGACGAACAACCGTGAACCAGACATTTTCTAAGTATACGACTTGATTCTCTGTCAGTTGGAATGCTTACTCATGCCACTGTGATTAAGCTAGGTGTTTTCGCAACACGAGGTATATACAGGTTTACTTAACAATGACATCGGGGTATCTCGGTACGAGCTACAACATCTTAATCGGAATTGTATAATCCCAACAGAATTCCGCTCGGAATTAGATCCTTCAATCCCATCTCTGCTGGCTGGTAAATAATCTGGAATCTAGGACTGATCTTACAAGATTCTTGGTATAAAATTCCGTCGACGACAAATTGATCCGTCTTGCTGCCTCTGAAGTCCTTACCTGTTAAGAATTCAACAGGAAGTTTCATACTATCTCCACTACAAGCTATGTTAACAATTCACATTATAAACAAATAACTTAGATAATTTATTGTCATGGCAAGAAAATAGATTCATACCTTAAACATCGTAGTTAATTCTTTTAGGTAGATACCAGCCCTCAAAAATAACCTCATTCCTATATTGGACGTATTCCCCAGACTAACCACGTATCAGTAATACATCAGTACTTCATAGTCCATTCAAAAATAACCACATTCTTATTTATGACACATCGCCTCATTCCTATATAGCTATTTATAGACATATTCCTGAGACTAACCATATACCTGATAATAAGCAACTCTCTGACATATAATACAATTGCCAGAGTCTTAACGTTCCTGGTCCACAATGTATCCAGATCCATAAGCTTGATTCTGAGATTAACTCTAAGCTGGCAACATTAATTTATTGACTTGCCCATAATAAAAATGAATCAAAAGTTCAATCTTACATTTGTGATATACATTTGTCCGATTTTGGCATCGTTACACAATTATAGTTACGAACATAAAATACTTCTTATTTCATTGTGTTGTTAGCACTTTAATTTTGTACAATTAAATATTCGATATAAGATATAAAAAAACAAGACTTCTGCGGTATTCCACGCTCTACCTCATTAAAATGAGAGTATCATTAGACAAAAAATTAATCAGTGCAAAATGAGAATCTCAATTTGAATTTCATTGTAGATATTATCAAATGACCAAGTATGTTGTGTAATTATTTATTTAGTTCTCTAATTCCCAAATCGTGTCAATGTTCCCCTCGCCACCCTAATCACCCGCCATGGACCAAAGTAACTGCAATCTCAATATTGGTCATGGCGTGCGTTGTATGCACTGATACCTACACACATACACGAACCAAGGTGGCGCTAGAGTGCTAGACTATGTCAAAGTTTTAACAAGGAACACGAACCGAAATATTAACAACAAATTTATGAATAGAAAGTCTGTGATGCTCTGTGATAATTAGCACAAATTAGGATTTCATACAGCGACTTTTTTATACACAATCACAAAAGGATCTACTAAAGTGTAGGCCTCAATTTCAGCAAAGCAATGGGATATCTATACAAGCAGGAATTATATGTGAACACCGTACATACCTGTGTTTCTCATATCAACGATTCTAATGTTATACTGGTAGGGATATTTCGTCCAATTTCGCCAGACTAAACTACTCTCAGGAAATATGTTCTGATGCTGACAATAGTTTCAAAAGTAAGTAGAAAGACAAAACCCCTACAATGTTGCCAACTTGTGCAGAATATCCCTCTGATGTTAAACCATGACATATATACCGTTCTTATCTCAACATGAAATTTTGTTGAAACATCATCAGCACAAATGCCATTCTTCGGAATGAAATCTTAGTTTGCTGTAATCATACTTTGTAAATGTTTGTAAGTGCGTTGATATGTTTCTATAAGATTATGAATGAAGTTTTATATTCATACGGACCTTTTTCTTTTATGTGTTTTCATATGTCTGTTCAAATCACTTGCTTCGTAATATCTCTTGTCACATTTGTCACACTTGTAAGGATTTTCACCTGAGTGCATCTTCATATGTCTACGAAAACTTTGAATCCATCGGAATTTCCTTGTACATATATCACACGTGAAAAGACTCACTTCAGAGTGTGATGACACAAGTTTTGATTTGTGTACTTTATACTCCTTGATTTGTGAATCCACGTTTACACCTTTCCTGGTTTTATGTGTCTTTTTCTTGGAACCCTTGCTTGCAGTTTGTTGACTTTCGTCTAGGGCGTGTATCTTGCAGTGCTCCTTTAGGGACTCAGCGCTTCCAAATGCTTTGTTGCAGGCTGGGCATTTGTGTTGTCCTTCTGCCTTGTATACATGCATCTCAACGTGATTCTTCAGATCATCTACTAAATAAAACTTTACACTACAAATAGCGCACTTGAAAGGTTTGTCTCGTGTATGATCTAACATATGTTTGGCGTAATCTGTTTTTGTTGTAAAATGTTCCCCACAGAGTTTGCATTTGATATCACACGAAGGTGTCATTGACATCTTGACGATTGCCTCTACCTTGGCTGTGTGTTCGTCTAAGGGTGAGTTTTCCCTGTTGTTTGAATTTATTTCTAAGCAGCCCGTTACACTAAATTGAGTACTACATGGGATCTCGCTTTGTTCCTTCTTTATTATGATATTGTTTTGTTGAAGATCAGATTCTCTTGTCATCTTACGAGTTTCTTCAAACTTCGAACGTTCTTTAGCTGCGGTGTTGCTGTCTTCATTTCCCATCTCGTCTTCACCTTCCCTGAGACGATTGTATGGACGTGGAGTTTGAGGATTCGTAGTGGTCAGCGTCTGGTTCATCTTCCCTAGGTTTCCTGTGCATAGCAATCGACAAATTAAAATGCACAAGCATATTGTGAAAATCATTCAAAAGTTCCACAAAAACGTATACGTTGATATTATGATACATTTTAACGCTTTTGAACTAACGCGAAATCAATATTGTGTTATGTAACATCAAATGTAATACCCCTTTCCATCAAAATTCCAAACATCGCAACATAATCTCTACATTTACTCTACTGGTAAACTCTAGATGTAAATTCTGTAGATGGAGGTTTTTTCAACTTAATGGTAGTACAGTGTTGTGTTTGGCGACACCAAGACTTCGTCGAGATCACGACGAAGAAACGTCTAATCTCGATAGAAGATATTCTGATTGTTATCTGATAAATGTTCTCCACGTGATTATGCTTCCATCTTACAGTGTTATGCAGTAATAACTAGAAATAGAAACATCTAAATAATATATGAACTCAGACCAGAAAACGTTATGTTAAAGGAGACTAATGTCAACAGGTCCAGCGATTTGCCCATGAACACGTCGACATGAGGACATGGAAGTGAACATTGTTTAAAGTGATAGTATGTGGTCTCAGAGAAACATCATCAGAAGTATGAAAGTGTTTATTACCTCTAGCGAGACCACCCACATCATATTCCGAAACGGCCAACTTAAGATCGCCCAGTGGTTCGGTCGGTTCTTCCTTGAATGTTACACATGCAACCTCATCAGTGTCCGTTCTGGCTCTTTTTGCTGTCCCTGTTGGTAAGCATACATTCCAAAATATTATTCAAAGTATTTTAGTCGAAAGAAAATTATCGGTATTATGTTATTCTGGGTATGATTGAAGCAGTGATATAGTTTCAGCTGATAATGTAAAATGCTTAAAAGTTTGCTAAATTAGCAAACGTGGCATGTTTGTAGCTGCTCTCTTAATTTGCCAATATCATGAATATTGTTTTAGCAAACTCTAAGGGGATAGTAAATGTTCAAGAAAATAATTCAATTGCTGCTATATTTTGTAATACGCCTACTTTAGTCACATCTATATTGCTTTTCTCCTGAATGTATTATTATATGAAAAGCAAACAATAAATGGCATTGCAGACATGTAAAACTAAACTGCTCACTCACATCCAGAGTCAGTTGCATGTGTGTTGGACTTAGCGTTGCATGTTTGTTCTCTACGCCCGTGCATTAGAAGATGACTGTTTAAATCACCAATCAAATCGAAATCTTTCCCGCACACATCACAGCTATGTTTGTTGTTACCATCAGGTATTCTGGTGTATTGGTTGATGTTGCCCATATCCCTGCACGTCCGCGGGTACGTATCGCTAGAATTTGGTGGTGATATGTGTTCTGGGTTTATTCCAGAACTGGTATGAGATGTAGCTTTTTCACTCTTGTCATCCTGTGGTCGCTCGTGCGTTTCATGGTGTCTGAGATAACACGTCTTCGAGTTATATTCTTTTGAAAAGACCTTGCATTCGTAACCATTTTCTCCAGTATGACTTTTGTGATGTCTTTTGAGATCTTCCATCTCATTAAACTCCTGCTGACAAATGACTCTTTTATGTTGATTAGGGCCTATGTCGACCTCCTTATGTTTCACCAGGCTTGGAGGTGAATCAAATGTCTTGTCACATGAAAGCCATTTTTCTTGCGCGTTTGCAACGGAGAATGTTTCCTTAATGTGTGTCCTGAGATGTCTGGATAGGTCAGCTTCATGACAACACTCTTTTCCACAAATATCGCATATTTCGCCAGTGCGAGATTTGATATGCATTTGAAAACTTGAGGAAGAATGAAACTTTTCACAGCATATAAGGCATTCAAAGGTGTTAATTTTAGCTGGTTTTTCATTACGAACACCAGGAAAAATATCCTCCTCAGTCTCATTTGAGGTCTGACACTGTCTTTTGTTCAACCGCCCTTCCTGAATAAGTTCATATCTCCGATCGTCTATATTACAAATACAAAAAATCATATCATCATTTTGATATCATTTATTGAAATTCTCTTATAAATTGTTGAAACCCATTATGAATCTATATTTCTAATATTGAAATGGTTAAGTTCAGGCTGGGTAATGCTTGAACGAAGAAAGTTATTTTACTGAAGGCAATAATTAGGGATAATATGGTCATATTTTAAATCAAAGTTCTGTTCAAATCAATTTCACAAAGAAAAATATTCCCAATTTGAAATATGATTTGCTTCTTTATGCAAACAAATCATGTGTGGCTTTTTCTGGAGTATATGACTGGTTTCAGTAGAAGTGAATTCTTTCTAACGAGAAAATTTAATAAACAAAAGCAATGTCTGTTACTATACAATTATAGAATGTTGATTTCATTGCAGCAACTACGAACAATATCGACAGAGGACTAAGTAAGCGGTTGATATGATAATTGGTAGGTGAGATAAAATTGTGGATTGACCGATATCAACATGCTGTAACTTCATAAGTCTAATTGAGAACAAGACTTTCAATTGTATCTATACATGTATATTTCGAACGTTATCAACAACCACAATAAAATACTGATATCTTTATTTCGGGGGAAAATCAGAGTTACGTTGGTGCAGTCTGAAAAGGTAGACATACAGTTATTTCTCACGGAAAGTGGTTCATTATCTCGCAATAGAAACTCGATATCTAAATTCGATTTTGAGGAATTCTTAAAAATCTGCATATTCTTGCTTAGAGAAATTTCCAAAGTCCGCGCCAAAGTTTTTGTTTTAAGATGTAAAATACTGTAAGCTGGTTTACTGTTGACACGGCAGTTTGTTGTGCATTTGCATATCAAATCCTATCAGGTTTACATTCCATTCGTAGAAGAAGAAGTAAAACCTTGTAGATGCATCTTTGCTTTTTGATTAGCAATAAGGATCGACGCTGATAAAGTTAGAGGTGTTCCGAAGATTGACACACCAGGTTTACAGCGTTATTGTAGTATGTTATATGACTTTTTATATTTTGGTACACGTGTCTTATCTGGCTAATAGGAAACACGGAATTACAATGAAAATAATACATGATCTTGTCATGAAAATAAAAACGTGAACTTGCGGTAAATCTTTCGTAAAATCAGACATCGGAAGTAACAAAGACAAATTAAAGATAATTTTGGATCAGAGGGCATTGAAAACATGGTCTGTAAATACGTATATCACGAAGTATGCATGTAAGGTAATATGTACTTTCAAACGGAAAATAAAACTATCCATTCCCCTTTGTCGTATATCAAAAAGTACTCCTTTTAATCGATCAAAAATGTCATTTTTACAGTATTTCATTTTCCAATGATCCAAACGCTATACGTGTATTCGAAAATTTGAAATAAAGATATGTTTCATTTATTTGTAACATACATTGGTTATGCTACCAGTAACTCATCAAGTGTTGATTAACATAAATATGGACGTACCTTCAAAATATTCCTTTTCTTTCTTTATCGACAGTAGTATATTTCTATCGTCCTTTTGTGTCTGTTCTAGATTATACCCCTTGAGTGAATCTCCTCCACAGCTGGAACCTCCACCATGTTGTAAAGGCAAAACATCGTTGACCATAACAACCTCCATTTGGTGTCTCCTCTTCCCTGTATACATTGATTGTCTGTAACATCAATGTTTTAATTATGTATTTTCTTTAGTTTGCATATCAATTAACACATTTCAACTGTTCAGCGCCGATCATACGAACAGAGGCTTGGATACTTACATACAAATCGTAATACGGATAAATCTGTCTTTCTCCTTGTTCCCATAAGAGCCGTAATACTTTTTTACTCACTTACATAGAAATATACTCGGTAACACATGGATGGTTTTACAACCACGTGTGTCAAATTCACAAAGCTTCCTTTCCGTACAACAGTACTAAATGTACACTGTAAACATGTGTGCAGTTAGGTGTTACTAACGTCTTATGAGATCTTTTATCCGTGCGGATAAGTAAGGCCAGTCTATCACAAAGTCCACGCATGTCAATGCAATTAAATGCTTTTTGTAAAAATGATTACGTTGTTGTTAACCATACGGCAACACATTTGAAAATGAACACAGTGTTACCTGGTATCAAAATCTTATCATAGTAAACTTCAACACTACACATAAATATAATAAAATGAAGACACTGTATCTTGACACTTAGTAAATCTATCTTATATTTCAGAGTGGGATATGTTTATGAAACCAAGGACTACTTCCTGTCTGAAAACTTATCCTTGTCCGAAAATTTACACATAATGATGTCGCGTGATTCCTAAGTACGCTGATTTCACTACGGTACGCATGATCTATAATGTGTAAATTTTATTATTATATAAGGTGAATCATAATAGTCAAGTAACACACTTTCTGTCATAATTTACAACATTTTCACAAACATTAGTGACTCGGATGTCGAAGACATGTCCACGGAAGAAATTTATTTCAGTATAATAATATAATTTGTAATGTTTATTATTAAACTATGTAAAGATAATATGATGTCATTAAAACAGTAAACGAATTCTCTTTTCCCGTGTCAATAGAAAATATTAAAATGTAGCGATAAACGACCCATCGCCACACCATACAAATCCCAGTTTTGTTCCACTTGTACACAATGTAAGGTAAAGACAATCGTAGATCAAAATCTCTCAAGGAATGAATCCGATAAAGTGATGACAAAGATTGTCTAAAATAGTAACCTTGCCCATAGAACCTTGTCATTCACACTTAAACGAGTATTTAAGTTCTTTACAAGCGTGCGAGATCTAATAAAAAAATCTTAAGAAATGAAGTAGATAATTAGCTAACAAGGATTTTCTAAAATAATAGTGGCAGTGACCTACATCTTGATCCTACAATATTGTGGTCCTTCGTACGTTCGTGAAGTTTGATTAAACAAAGACATCGCTAAAAAGAAGCAGTTAGAGCGCTGACAAGTTTTGTTGAAAAAAAGTATGAAATTTATTCAGTGCAGAATCGTCTACATATGTGTTTATACTACGAGAGCACAGAATCAGGTATATACGGTAAGATGCACGAAGTTGAATCCTTTTTCTCAGTACTAAAAATTGAAATATACAATTCTTTGACTTGACTTTTAAACCATTTAATTGTAATTTATTAATTAATTAGTATAAATGATCTGTAATGTCTAATGTCAGAGGTGTTATTATCATTACACGACAATACCAGATCAAGATCCCGGCATTCACTCTGAGTATACTTTATAGGTTTGGAGATAATCAGCATGATACGGGTAGACTGATCTCTCATGTGAAACGATTTCCCTCGACCAGCGTACTTTTAGTGAAGTTATAACCTAATTTTGAAAAATAAATCACTTAAATGTAATTTTAAATAGCGGTCGGATGGTGCAGCGGTAATGCACTCGCTTTTCACGTAGCCGTAGCCGTCCGGGGTTCGATTCCTGGAACGGACGAGAAAAGGTAAGGGGTCACCTGCCCGACCACGTGAGGTTTCCCCGGGTACTCTGGTCTTCTCCCAAATAACAACCCCTCGCACGATTACATGAAAGGTTTAAACCCATTATGTTAATTTTCTATAGTCCGAGAAAGTTGACAAGATTAAAAGAAATGAAGCAATAAGCCGATACGAGAAGGGAGGTCTCGGGTTCTCTCATGTAAATCCATATGAGAAGGGAGGTCTCGGGTTTACTCATGTGAATTCATACTGTCAGGCACTAAAATGGAGATATGAATAAAGAAAATGCTAGACACCAACATCAATTCCCATTTTTTAAAAAATTGACAACTTTGAAAAAATGAGGATGATGCAATTTGATACATGGACTTCTATAGACCATGCTTCACCCACAACCCCGTCAGAAATATGATCACAATCATTATGATTATACAATGAAATCAAGATAAAAGAACAGTGCGTGTTATATAAAAAATGAGTAGATAAAAAGTATTATTCATTAAAAATTTACTTATGAACATGGGTAAATTTATGGATATAAATCAATTTTAACAGCGATATGAGATCCTAACTAACATGGAGGGATATTACGGCATTAGGGCATATATCCCTAACTCACGGGAAAATGGTAATTAAAACATACAAGAAAATATTAATTTATCGGTTAACAAATTTAAGTAAATAATAAAATGGAAGGAAAAGATAGCTAGATAACTTTAATACAATACTAGTCATAGTTGTTGGATCGCACAACGTTACACGGTTAGCGATGTGCGCATGATGTCTGCATGATGTGCGCAAGATGTGCGCAAGATGTATGCACGATCAGCGCACGATAGGAAAACTAAACGAAATAAGCTATAGGACATTTAAATGTATAATATTAGAACTAAGTACATTCCCAAATTAAGTCCCGAATCTATAAGTTGTGCATGTGTAGATCTATCAGACACAGACAGAATATATACACACGTTATATAAGGTGTTTTGTCTACGAAGTGCCACACGTGACCAGCCACAGTGTACAGACACTTATTATAATATGCATTATACATGTATATGTAAACATTAAATGGATATCTCTCTGAAAGAATAATCTAAAATCTCATACTGTCAGAAAATAAATTGTGTTTACATTTCTTCTGTATTACTGCCATCTTTTTCATCATTTGAGTACATAGGTAATCAAGTAAATCTGAAGTGGTATGTGTTACACGGGCGACATAGCTGGCACTGATCCAGAGTGGGTATACAGGTAAATTTTGTTGTCCGATGCACACCACTCGCTATTCTCTGAGGTAGGAAATTATGTACGATAAAACTAGTTTATGCTTCAACCGATATCACGTACTTCCCTCGTAAATCTATACAAAATGGCAAGAAAAAATACAAGTAGATAGAACAAATGACAAAATTTGGAGATGTACTTCAAAGTACCCTTTAATATAACAGATTATACAACACTAAAGACTTTTGAATTTAAAATGTTGCAAAGAATACTCTTTACAAATTCTAGACTAATGCAAGTGAACATTGGAGAAAGAGAAATTTGTAATATTTTATTTGTACGGTAAGCATAGAAAAGCTGACCAATCATTTTGGAGGTCACGTGCATTATGGTCAATCTTGAGAGTACAATTTGTGACTAATCATAGTAAAGATTTTCCGCTGTCAAATATTTTCTTTATAAGCGGTATTGACGACACTACTGAAAATGAAAGTGTAAATATGTATCATTGTCAGGTAATATATTTACTTATGCAGAAACAGCGATACATTACCAACAATTGATGAGGTCCGTGGTGCAATATTATAAGTATATCAAAGTGCCCCGTCTTATCCCCAAGGGAAAGCGGACCGATAAATAGCGAAGGGGAATATGTATGCACGAAGATTTTTGTGCAATGTCCGATGTGCGATACCACAACTGTAAATGATTATAATTATCTTAAATAACAAGGTATGAAGTTTTATCAAGGGATAATTTCGCTAGAGTGCAACAGTGTTTGGTGTACGAATGCAGACCATTTGGCTGGTCAAATAAACAAACTCTGCTTACTTCTGGAACTACTACGTTCACACTAACCAAAGTATTTACAAATTTGATGTTCACGCTGATCAAGAGACAACAATCTCGTATAAGGGATATATAAAAATTATATTATATTTGCGGTGTATTTTGACAGATTGATGCATTGCAATACTGTATTGGGCGTTGAATTTCGGTTTATGGTTTGGCATTTAATGATCAAAATACAGCTGTCAAGCATTGTTCTTTTTGTACTCTATGTAAGTATATGGGCATTACCTGTAACTGTCCTGTATGTTACCGGCGACGGTCTTATAAGTAACAGGGGTAATTTGGAACGGAAATAGCAAATACTTGCGACTACAAAAAGGAATAATCCCCCTTTCCTTGTTAGAATGGCGACCATTGACAATATGAAAAATAGGAACAAGATATATATATATAATAAGACCCTGCTTAAATTGTTGACATACATACCTCTATCTTTATATTGAGAGGGCCATCCAACTTTCTGTTAAACAATTTATGTCCTTATTTTGCATTATATTACAAAATTCAGGTTCGTCTCGTTTGCTACACTTCCTTTTCTAATGATCCATGACACGATTCGGAGGGGGTCACTCTCGTCGCGTCCCTGTCTGTTCACGTTCCTATTGGGATGCTTGAGGGGTTGAATAAGGTACAGAAGAGGTATTTTGCAATATTCGGACGGTACGACCTTGCCTCCAGCGGTTGAGTGCTGCTTTCTGCGTTACTTAGGACAAATTGAAAAAAAAGTGTAATTTCCGAGTGGTATTACACACCAGGTGATACGTTTTTTATAACATGAAGAAGCAATGAAAAATACCCTGTCACAGCTGGGATTCGAACTAGTGATACTTGCAGAACACTCTACCGCTTGACTAAAGGGAAATTCTCACTAAATAAGACTTGTAAGTTGACCCGTACTCTCAACTTCTACACATTTTTTTGTGGTTTAAGAAAAGATTGACTCATTTAGGGAATTATCTGACAAGATTCATTAGTATAAGCGTCTTAAAAGAAAGGTAAATAACGGGAAAATCCTCTGGATATAATATTCGCCATTTATAAATATGTCTGCTATTGTGTACATGTC